GCAGCAATCACACACATGGTAATGGAGTCAATTCCCTCATAAAAGTGTATTACATAGGTAAGGTGCACCTCCCCTCCGCCCAGTAATTTAAGATGCCAGTAAAAGGTAAGCTACTGAACATCATAAAGGAAATAAGGAAGCACAGGTATGTTGAAATAATACCAACTTTCATTATCTTCATACATGTGGAATAACAAAACCTCAACAGAAACATAGCCAATTTAGAAGCTAAAGGCACTTATAAAAATTAATGCAATAGCCAGCATTCAAATTCTCAGCAACTATTTCTAGAATACACATAATTCACAACCTTTTTTTTAAGATTTTTTTTTTTTAATTGGAAAGTCAGATATACTGAGAGGAGGAGAGACAGAAAGATCTTCCGTCTCACGGTTCACTTCCCAAGTGCCGCAACAGCCAGAGCTGAGCTGATCCAAACAAAACCAGGAGCCAAGAGCCTCTTCTTGGTCTCCCACACTTGTGCAGGATCCCAAGGTCTTGAGCCGTCCTTGTCGGCTTTCCCAGGCCACAAGCAGGGAGCTGGATGGGAAGCAGCCATAAGCTAGCAGGCATTTCAGAGTCCCTAAATAATCCCTAAAAGGAGGTACATGTCACTGTGCCTTAATTTATTCTTTCTGCCTTAGTGCCTTAACATTTAAGAGACAATAAAATTTCTGAGTATATACACTATACATTAAATGAAATACCTGGAAATGAGGTAGTTCTCAGAGCAGATTTAGGCAAAAAGTAAGCAGGATTGTTTTTCACCATGCTTCTAACATAAGAAAAGAGAACTTAAGCTGAACTGACAGGTAACCTGGAGTATTTAGAGTGAAGAACCTCCCTGCTCATATAGGAGAAAAAATTATTTTAAGAGTTAATAAACAAAATCAACTTCTTTGTTCAACTTTTCCAACCTGCCTAAGCACTAGACATTTTATCATTTTATATCTTCTGCCATTTTATATTTCTACCATTCAGGAAAATATGCCCAGGTAACACACTAATCTCATTTGAGTTTCACTCATTTCCTTTGAACTGCGTCTAGAACTCTCAACTTCCTAGCCTTTTCACATTAACACTTTCAATCAAAATAACAACTTAAAATACTACATTCTAGGGGAGTTAGACAGGGATCCTAGACATAGCTCCCCATTGAAGTAATACGAAACAAAACAAAAACTGCCTTACTGAATTACTTACTCTACTTTTCAAACTCCAAAAACAGTTCTAAAGTTGACATATTTTAGTAATAATAGAAATACATAAACAAAATTTCCAGTGTTTGTTAAATTGAATATTGCAGTGGCATTAAATGACTAAATAGTAAGTGTTATCACAGCTTATGTCAAAATTAGTGTTTTAATGAAGTAATGATAACACACTATTTTAAATATATGCAAGATAATGTTCATCAATATCATTAAAAGGTAATAAAATCAAATCCTAAGTAATCATACGGCATTATATAGGCATCTAATCTTACCAAAGGGAATATTATCTGAAGCAAAGAAAAGCAACAAAATATCATGTAGAAATGTTACTCTGAAATGGACTACAGTTCAGATACTACTAAAGCAGCTGAACTGACTTCTCCACTACTCACTAAACACATTAAAACTTTGTCAATTTATTGGAAAAATAACACTAAATTCCTGAAAAGTAAAGTGAGCATTAATTTCACATTTCTTAATATGGACAAAATAAGAAATATGCAAGCATTAAACTCCAGGAGAGGAGAATGGATATCACAAACAGATTTATAATGGTCCAAATTAGAGAAGATTTAGAACTAAGGGAAAAATTTTTACTTGCAACATAATAGGGAAAAAACTATATGAAACTTATGAAAATAAACTATTCCAAATATTTTATTATCTAAAAAGAGCAGGCATTTGCCATGGCAGTTGAAACACCTATGTCCCATACAGTGGGTCTGGCTCTAAGTCCAAACTCCAGTTTTCTGCTAATGCACATTGCTGAAGGCAGCAGTGACCGGCCAACCACTAAGCTGTTGGGACCTGGCCTTTGCCTGGCACAGCATAAGCTGTCGTTGGCCTTTCAGGACAACTGAATCAGCAGATGAAAGATGTCACTCTCTCTTCCTCCTCTTCTCTGCCTTCTCCCTCCCACACACCCTCGCCTAAATAAATAATTTAAAAATAGCAAATATTTTTAAAAATTAGTATCGTATATATTACAATCCTTCTTTGGACAGAGGTTAAGAGATGGAAAAGTTACGATCGCTCATGGACAGACTGACACATTGTCCTCCATACTAAATTAATAATGTACCTTTCCATCAGCTAGGAACAGTGTATTTGGGGAACTGTACCCTGTTTAAAGACTGGGCACTTGGATGGATGCTGTGGAGCACCAGGTCTACTGCCTAAAATGTCAGCAATTCATTTTGGTATCAGTTTATTTCCTGGCTGCTCCACTTCTGATTGAGCAACCTGCCAATGGCCTGGTAAAAAGCAGCAGCAGATGACCAAAACTGTTTGGCCCCTGTCACAGACGAGAGCCAGAGAACACTCCTGGCTCCTAGTGCGTCTGACCTGGCCAGCACTGCCTGCCGTGGACAACTGAGAGAAGGCCAGAGGACAGAAGTGATCAGATAGCTATCTACTTCTGCCTTTGAAAGAAACAGGTACATCTTGGGGGAAAAAAAAGACTAGGGGAAACTGGTCTAAGAGCAACCACATCTTCTTTTGATAAGGCATGAAACAGGACTGGCTGTGTGGCTTGTTTCTGACCAATGACATGCAAAGTGTGTCTTGAGAGATCAACAGGAAATCAAGATCTTTCTCAATCATGAACCAACGATAATGATCATCATTTATTGAGCACTTACTGAACAAACATACCACCAGTCTAATTTTGTCTGAGAAATTAAAAAGTATTTCACGTTGACTGCACATGGCAATCAACATATATCATGAAATAGAGCAATGAACCTTTATTACAAGTCAACATTATCCTGTTCACTACTTTTATTTGTTCAGACATAGTTTAATTAGCCCTCATCATAGTGTCCGTGGCAAAATTGCGCCATGGAAAGGAAAGCCTTATTTTTAGGAGGGTCCTTCCCTCTATTTAAAATATTTAATGGCATTCTGATGTCTACTGCATTTGTACAAACACAGAAAGTTTTAAGAGTTCTTGATATATTTATTAAACTATGTCTGAACAAATAAAAGCAGTGAACAGGATACTGATTTAGTCAAGCAACAGTGAAGCAGGAATGTTTTCAGAAAGCCATGAACATTTTTCCCTAATTAAAATGATTTTAAAGCCTGTCACTTTCATGAGATGGAACTTTGCATTCAGATTTAAGATACCACTATCCTGATATCTCAGAGCCACATAATTTGGAAGACAAAGGATTAGTTTTTTACCTCAAATGTATTTTCTGTTAGAAACACTTGTCACATTCAGAGGTATACTGTGACAATATTGCGAAATGTCTGAATAAGCCTATTTTGTACTATATCATATTTTAAAGTCTCTGAGGGGCTGTTTTGGGGGCACAGCAGGTTAAGCCACCACCTGCAATGCAAACACACCACATGGGCATTAGATCTGAGTCTCAGCTATTCCACTTCTTATCCAGCTCCTGCTGCCCAGATAAGAGTTCCTGGTTCATGGCTTCAACCTGGACCCTTCCAGGCTGTTCCAGCCATCTGGAGAATGAACCAGTGAATTAAAGATTTTTTTAACTCACCCACCCCCTGCAACAGTTAATTTCAAATAAAATAAATAAGCCTTAACAAAAAAGTCTGATAGCTAATATAAACAAACTGTCCAAGAAGAACTAAAACATGCAAAGCAGAATGTATCTTAACCTATGTTCCACTTCAACCTCAGTGACAGCCCACATTTTAGTTTCAAAAACCATGAGCTAAGCTTTAGAACTGCTGACTCCCAGGCTTCCGACATTCTCCATACTGCTAACATAGATCAACCGGCCTATTCCTCAACTGTACTTACCTCTGACCACAATGTGACCTAAACTGTTGAAAAGCTACTTGTTTCAATGTTTTTGGTTAACATGTATAATACACATCTCAAAATATTAGCACTGTTCTTTGTTAAGTTCATTGAAATAGGAAAGTTATCCATAAAATTGTCTACTTTAAAATCTAGAGCAAATACATATACTTAGTTATGTGTTTTTAAAAAGCACTAGTAGTTCCTTTACGGTAAGTTCAAAGTACAACCTACTGGAAATCATTCTTTTCTCTTTTTCCCTTCTCTACTTTAAAATCAAGAGAGTCTACAATGGAGATGCTTACACAGTAACTATTAGAAACGGTCATTAATTCACAACAACTTAAATTCACCCAAGAACTGCTAATCCTTTCAAAATGCAATTCTGTGTCATGCAGGAAAGCACTATTTTCATGAAAAGTAGAGTGCACACACATACACACAAACTGAACGAATAGGAAATACTAGAGAAATACCGATTTCAACAGGCAAAGTAACATGTTTAAATCAACAACACCTTTTCTCAGTAACATCTCCACTCTTAAATCAACAATTCAAATACCTTGCACAGAACACTCTTCTTTATAATTTAGCTGTAAGACCTGGCCTGTTGACAGAGGCAGGTAGCTTTCCACAGATGCCCAGGCAAACAAAGGGTCAATGATAGCATCACACATGACATGAAAATAGCTCTACAGCGGCAGATCACTTGAGTGAAACAGGTGTCTCAACTGAAAATGAAACTTTCACCCTTTCATGACAGATTTTCATTAAAATATTTTTAAATTAAGTTTAATCATGAAATTAATTATAATGCAAGTTTAAGCACCATGATGAATTTACATTCTGAAACCCAACCTTAAGTATTTTCCATTTCATGGTTGATACTTTACCAGATAACTTTTCAAAAAGTGCCAATAAAAATTCCAACATTTCTTAATGTTCTAATATTTAACAACAAAAATCCAATAAAAACAAAACATTACATTTTTAAAAACTCAACAACCTACCTTTAAACTAGACTCATAGTCTGTGTTCACTTTGAACATAAGCCCAAGTCGTAAATGAATTTCCTTGGCTCGACAAAAGCTGGGATCAACATAAAGCACCTCCTGAAATGCTTTAATTGCCCTGAAAGAATATAGAGTTGACATATCTTAACACGTGCATGCATTTCTGCTTGGTAGTACAGCAAAACTTTTTTCAGGTAATATTATTTTAAAGGAAATTGCTTTGTTTTTTTTAAAGAATATGAATAATTTGAGGGAAAAAAACCTGGAAAGGAACACGTGGGCATCTGTAATTGAATATATAATCTAATTTAATATAAATGAAAGATCAGCTGAATTTACACTAAATTAAGAAACAATTTCATGATTTAATAAAACACTCAGTATAAACAACTGATGTATTTGCTCTGGAATTTTCTGGTACAGGGGACTAAGGCAGGAAAAAGTTTTGGTTTTTATATAGGAGCATTGCTTAATCCTGTTTTTGGTCTACTTTATAAAATTATGTCTTTCTTCTCTATATTTTGGACTTTCATAACTTTTATACTGTGTGAGGTAATGGTCAGTTTTCATGACTGCTTCACTTGTAGGAAAGCCTGCCCTGACTCCAAAACTTGATGGTGCTGCTCTGTCCCAAATCCAGTTCTACATTTAGCTGGCTCTCTGAGCTCGCTTTTAACCTTTTCTTGGTCCACCAGTCTTCATCCCAAATATATACTGAGCCATTTTAAACAAGATTTGGATTACTAGCAGAACAAAATCAGGGGTAGGGGAAGGCCATTTGCATACCAATATATTGCCAACTCAAAAATAAATATTAAAATGATAAAAATATCTATCTGAATTTCAACTTATACACATCAGATGTAAAAGCATTTCAGATACATTTTAAAACCCTGTACGTGCTTTAACGCTTCTCGCAAGCACCAAGCTAATGTGTATACTGCAAGGTTTTTATCAACAATTTTCTTTCAGACTTTACAGTTAGCTGTTTAGGATCTCAAACACTTCCAAACAAGTCTTTTTATATAAAAAGTTCAAACTGCCAAACCATAAAGTGAAGCAAAATAATGCTTTAGTAACTCAGGCGATTCATGCATTATCATACTTCTCAAAAAAAGGTTACAAAAGTTATTTTTTATAAACTTAAGAGTTCTAAAGGTATTATGGGGAAGGGCTGTCTGGAGTACAGGGTCAGGATCAGACCTATTTACGTGCACCTTGCTATGGCAGTACTTAATTTTCAGCTTGACAAAGAGCTGAACAATCCATCTTTTAAGTGGGTAGAACCAATTATGTGTTTTCTTATCTGATATATACAAGATTTAAGACAGTGCTAGTGTGAGGAATTGACAAGAAACACTAGGGGGAATTTACAGTTCTCATTCAAAGATGGTTTCCTACTCCTCACAAACAATAAATTGGTTGAGACATCAAAAGGATTAGAAAAAAGCAGTGGTAACAATTAACAAGGTCAATTAAGACAAATGGCTACAACTAGAAACGAATAGGAAGAGATCTTTGCTGTAATGCCAATGTTTTACTTTCCAACCCAGGTGACAGATACATGAATGTTTATAACAATGTCAATGTCTATACGAATGATTTATGTACTTCTCATTAGGTATGTTATATCTTATAATGCAAACAACGTGTAAAGCTTCGTGACCTCATACTTAATCTTACCTTATGACACAGGTCAGGAAACTCTTAAGATAAAAACTAAGCAATACCCATGTGTAACAATTAAAAAAAGGAAGACCTCAAGTGGCCCTGAGATAGACATGAAAGTGGAACACAGAAAAAGAAAAGGAAAAGCAAAGAAGGACAAACAAAAGAAATAATAAAAGAAAAAAGGGTAAGAAAAGTGTGCATGAGGAAGGGAGGGAGAAGAAAGACAGCATTGCTAACACTGTTTCCGATTCTGTCTCAGGCTGTCTTGCTAAGGAGACAGGCATTTTAAATACCATCTCTTTACAGATCATTTCCTGCTGTGTTTTTCCCCAAATACAGTATCTGTTAAAAATGTTTTACTCCTTAGGTGCCGTTAGCAGACACCTTTTACACTGGGTCCACAATGCCACACAAGTGAAAAAAGAATGTATTTAACATGCTTAGGAGGTATGCTAACATAATGGGAGGGAGAACAGGTACTATTTTAATTTATAAACAAAACACACATGCCAAAAACTACTCTGGGTCATGCTTACTTTTTTCAAGGATTATAAAAAATGCCTACTCGCTAAGTTTTCCTTCTTGTCGTTGCTAAGTTTATGAATTCCAAAACTTGCAGACCCATTCTGCAGTTATCTTTTTACTAGATCGCTGAAATAAGGCTAATGAAACACTTTCTTTGGGGACCAGCGTGGCAGTCTAGTGGCTAAAGTCCTCGCCTTGAACATGCCAGGATCCCATATGGACACTGGTTCTAATCCCGCGACCCCACTTCTCATCCAGCTCCCTGCTTGTGTTCTGGGAAAGCAGTCAAGGATGGCCCAAAGCCCTTGGGACCCTGCACCCATGTGGGCAGGGAGCATCCAAAAGATGCTCCTGACTCCTGACTTTGGATTGGCTCAGCTCCGGCTGTCGTGGGCATCTGGGGAGTGAACCAATGGATAGAAGACCTTTGTTTCTCCTTCTCTCTTTATATCTGTCTTTTCAATAAACATTAGTAAATTATTAAAAATATTAAAATCATGAGTTCTCTCAAGCTAATAATACTGGATTCAGATATTTCTAACAGGGATAAGAAGTGATAAACAAAATATTCTCACAAAATTTCACACAAATAAAATGGAGACTATTTGAATGCTAAATCAGTACACACACAACAGATTCCCACAGGCATGTATGTTAATGTGTAAGTTCTTTTTAATTGAGAAAGATTTAATAAAATAGATGAGATTTCAAATAGTGCAGATCGCATAAGAAGGGAAATCAAATAGCAATTAGCACAAAGCCACACAGATGAAAAAATCTACGGTGTTTTCAGGGAAATATCAAAATAATGCTAATTGGCACAAAGAAAGCACTTAGGAAAGCTGCAGGTAAATATTCTGAGGTTGAATCAGAAAGCCTAAATGTGAAACTAAATTAGAAATACCACATGCTGGATTAATCATGCCAATCTTTGCTAATTACCGCCTCTTTCAGCTATTTTGCTCTCTTGCCCATCTTCCTCACTCCAGCCAGCAGGTTACATTTTTACCTCTCAATGCAAGAATTGTGGTTTTAAATATTATTTCCCTTAAGCCTAATTAACCACAGACCTTCAATATTCTCCAGGGCAATCTATGTCAGTAGTATGCATCACCTTATCAGAATCCCCTTAGTAAAATCTACAGTTTTCAGGTGAGCGTTGGTGGAGAATTTAAGACTGCCTGGGAGGCAGACATCCTTTGTTGGAATCTTGGCTCTATTATCCCCAGCTTCCTGCTAATGCACACCCTAGGAGACAGCAGGTGATGACTTGGATAGTCCTTGCCACCCACATGAGTTCCTGGTTCCTCGCTTCAACCTGGTCCACACACACCTTGCTGGTACAAGCACTTGGGGAGAGAACGAACAAGTGGAAACCCATCTCTGTCTCTCCCTCTATCTGCCTTCTAAATAAAAATATGTGGTTAAGATTTATCTATTTTTTTCTGAAAGGCAGAGTTTACATAGGGAGTAAGGGAGACAGAGAAAGAGGTCTTCAGACACGATACAATGGCTCAGTATCCAAATCTTCACTTTGCAAGTACCAGGATCCCCATGAGTGCCAATTCATGTCCAAGCTGTTCCTCTTCCCATCCACCTGCCTGCTTGTGGCTTGGAAAAGCAGTTGAGGATGGCCCAAAGCTTTGGGACCCTGCACCTGCATGGGAAACCCAGAGGAAGCTCCTGGCTCCTGGCTTCAGATCAGCTCAGCTCTGGCTATTGCATCCACTTGGAGACTGAACAAGTGGACAGAAGAACCTTCTCTGTAATTCTACCTTCCCAATAAAAATAAAACAAATCCTAAGACAAGACAAGACAAGGCAATGATTCACTACTCAATTCAATGGTTCACTACACAACGGCTGGAAATGAGTCTATCAGAAGCCAGGAGCTTCTTCTGGGTGTCCCCTATGAGTATGGGGAACCAAGAGCTTGAGCTACCTGCTGCTAACCCAGACCTTAAGCAGGGAGGTAGATCAAAGTGGCGCTGAGACGTTTAATGTAAACACAATTTTTAAGCAAATCTAGAAATCTCATTTCTAAAAAGTATATATAATAAACTCAACATACACTGTTTTATTTTCAGGAAAAAATTAAATCTAGGAGCATGTCTATATTAAGTTTAAAACATACATTAGTAGTAGTTGTGGCATAGCAAATCAAGTGCCCACCTACAATGTTGGCGTGCAATATGGGTGGATGGTTCGAGTCTGGGCTGATCCACTTCTCATCCAGCTCCCTGCTAATGTGCCCAGAAAAGCAGTTGAGGATGTTCAAAGTATTTGGACCCCTGCACTCACACTAGAGACCTAGTATAAGCTTCCTGGCTTAGGCCTGGTCCAGTCCTGGTCAACTGCAGAATGAACCATTAGGTGGAAGACCTCTGTAACTGTTGTTCTTGCTAACTCTTTCAAATTAATACATACATCTTTTAAAAGATAAATTAAGTGATGCCGACACACTCCATGCCAGACAAGCCTCCAGATCAATCAGCTTTATGTTTGCAATATTCCCCCAGCATTTTATAAAAAAATTTCATCTACATTAAAACCACTACCTGTGTTTTATTTTTTTTTCACTGCACCCAAGATAATCAGGCATTCCTACATCTGTAAGAGTATTTGTGACTGGTAGCGACACAGAAATTAATCCTAAAGAAACTTTACCCTATTAGCATTTCTGTGAATGATTCATCTTCACCTCATTTTACTACCTTATCAATGTTGTTAATTAGATTTAGGAGCTTGATCTCCAGAATCTATGCCTCTGCCAAAGAATCAAATATCTTAGACATTTGCTCGTATACCACAATTCTGATTAATAGAAAAAAAAAAAGTTTACAGGCAGAGGTGGACAGTAAGAACATATAGGGAGCTAGTCTTAGAGATTTGTCTATACAACTTTATTGGAAAGAATAGTTTCTATCACATCCTTCTACTAAATTGTCAAGGCTTTTTTCAAATATTTTCTCTCATTCTGGCCCTTCCTTTCACCATATGTAGTCCACTTCCTCTCACCCCAGGATTCCAACTCTTACAAAGAAAAAGTTTAAGACAGCTCCTGGTAATGTACCAAGTTTATGAACAAGATCAGATGAGGACACAAACTTGCATGCATAAATGATGCTGTAAAAAATGTTTCTATAGAAACTGGTTTCAATTTCTCTATTACAATTACTTTAGATGGTGCCTCGTACCTCCTCCTGGACACCTTTATACTGGTAAAGTTTGTTCTCAAATTACTGAATGAAATAGTATACACTTAAATGATCACTATAAATCCATTTAGGATATAACAGCTATTCTAATCTATTACTATTTGACATGGTAATTTATAGAAAGAAGCTAAAGCTGAAACTGAAAACAAGTAACTGATCTAGAATCTGACACATAAAAAAACAAATAAATGATAACATAATATGACCAGACTAGCATTAATCCTACAGTTTAACTATTTACACTCTAACGTTAAATCACCATTGCTAACCCAAGCGCACACACCACCACAAAACATATAATTTCATCAAATGCCAGCATGCACCATTATCAAGTACAGAATTTTATTTAAATTACAAATATACCAGAGTTGCAACACTCTGAGACATCATGGCTACACTTTGTGCTAACAATGTAAGATACAGTATTTCTTTCCAGAAATATTTCAACAATCTCCAAAAAATGTGGTGTGATAACCAAAAAAAGCCTTATCTTTGCCATCTCCAGGCATTTAACACATAAAATAAAAGTAGTTTTAACTTAAGTAAGCTCTTACCAATTAAGGATGTACTCTAAAACTCTCACCAAGCAAATAGCTCCTGCTTTCTAATTCTGTGGCTGAAATCCAAGACACAGAAAAACAAGCTACAGCAAAAAGCGTAGGACAGTTGCAAGAGAACATTTGATTAGCAAGAAAGAATACACACAGCCAGAGTGAATTCACAGACAAGGTACTGTCTGTGAAGCAGCTATACAATTGAAACTCACTATATAAGACAATTGTGGTGACCAGAACAAGATCAACAGGGAAAAGGATACTTCTTAATCCAATACGGCATTGGTTTACATCATTCAGTTTCATTTTTTGAGGTCAACTGAAGAATATAGAAATAATGTGTATATAAAGAATCAAGAGACATAAGCTTCCACAGTTATAAGCGCCCAAATTTAACATGATTACACATTCAGTAATCAAATCTCAAACTGACAGCAACTTCACCTAGCCCCTAATTTTATGCTCTTGTCTTCAGTCTACTGGGAGGTTCACATGCTACCAGATATGCAGAACCTAGCTGATAGGAGCTATACATGCACATAGCCATTTACTAAACTACAAAATTTCTTGCCTTGGATTTCATCTAAATTATTTCTAGTTGGCCACAAAAAAATACTGTACCAATTTGTCTAAGAGAACAACTGCATACAGAGATTTAAAAACTAATCACCTATCAATACTAAAATTCAGGGACAGAGTGCAATAGTGTGGAAAAATGGGGAGGAAATTCATTTCTGCCAACTAGAGAATTAGGTAACTGACTTCAATACACCGTGCTTTTTCTCCATCAATAAAACCAAGGGGAAAAAACTAAATTACTTCTAAGACCACTTCCAGTTCTGAAATTTATAAATTGGACATTAAATTAGGAGATTTAATTTAGGACTTGTGAGAAGAAATAGGTAATTTGAGAGAAAAATTACAAAGCTTCTTTATAAACATCTATTATATAACCTTTTACAAAGTTTACAGAGAAAATCCGTGATGTGAACGTTTATAATATTCTTTTATACATACAGGTGTGGTCTAGAAATGCAGTTCTATCAATTATGACCAAAGCCAAAAGAGGGAAGAAAAGGCACAGAAAGAAAAGGCCACGCAGGCGTAAAGTTTCTTTAGAAAAACCCTATCAAATTACTGCCAATGTTTTAAAAAAAAAAAAAAAAAAAAAAAACAACTAAAAGGTAGCCAGCAGGTATATTATAGAATTATAATCTTTGGCCAAACACTCAAATCACCTTCCTTTTAATTCTCACAGCATTCACTCAGCCTAAATTCTCAAGCACAGAAGAGATCCTGACAAACTCAGATATACTTCAAAATAAAAATGTCTACACAGAATATTACAGGTCACATAATACACATATACATCAACATCAAAATTCTGTTAAATAATGAGGTTTTTGTTTGGTTTCTTTAAAACTAATGAGGAAACAAACAGACATAAGGAAGTTACTTAAATCAAGATCAAATTAAGTAACAATGTTATGACCACAATACCAATCTTCCAATTCAAATTCTATACTTTAAAAAAAAAAGGAAAAAAGAGAAAAGAAAATAAATATCCTGTATTATCCCATGTGCTAAACATTAAAAACAAGAATGGGGCAAAAGCCATAACAGACTAATATTCCTTATAGCTTGCAAAAGTTTGTGTTAGTATCATATTTGATCTGCAACTGTTAAGGGATGATAGTATTATTCACATAAAAGAAACAGCTGGGAATTATAATCTAGTTACTGGAAAATGGAAAGGCTAAGCGGTGTGTGGAACAGCGAACTATCTATTTAAACTGAAAAGGTAAACTTGTGAGTATTGGTCATTACAGATCATTTACTCACATCATTCCCGACTTTAAATAGTCCATAGATCACTATTCCATGATGAATGACTGAAAAAATGTCAAAAAGTTTTATCAAAGCCTCCTTTTAAACGAAACTTACACTAGATTCTTTAGGGAACACAGAAAACTATAAATCTAAGGTGGGTCAGTATCAGGTAGAACAATATACTCCTTTCAACAATTATAAATAATGTAGGCTTACTAACACTAAAATACTTCTATTACATATGCATACATTTAAGCAAAAGCTAAAAGACAAAAACCATTTAATGGCAATACTGGCGGTTGTTAGTTGTTAGTCAACTTACCATTGAAATGCATTGTAATGGAAGTAGACCAAACCAAGACCATACAAAAAGGCAGCATTCTGTAAAGGAAGGGAAAAACAGACTCTTAGAAAAGTCAATCTAAAGCACATGATTTATTGATGTAAAAATGCTATGCCAAAATGCCCTAAGTTCTTAAAATCTTCTCCTATGCATCATGATAAATTTTAAATGTTGTTTGAAAGTACTTGAATTTGTATTTGTTTTGCCTTGAAACACACACATACACAAACATTTCATTTAAAAGGCAAAGTGACAGTTTCCATCAAATGATCACTCCCACAACAACTAGGGCTGGATCCGGTAGAAACCAACAACCCTAAATTCCATCCACATCTCTTTGTTGGGTGTCAGGGTCCAAGCACTGCAGCCATCATCTTTTCCTTCCCAGAATGCATTGGCAGGAAGCCGGATTGGACTAGGAATAGTTCTTGACAGTATAATACAGAATGTAGGAACCCTAAGCAGCAGTATCACAATGCCTACTCCTGTATTTTTAAAAAAGGAGAGTGATGAGTTAACAGATAGATAATACAATACAGAATCCAATTGGATGTGAGGGCGATCTGGCTGCAACATCTGTCACTTCGTTGATTCAGCTGACCTAACTGGCTAGGCATGTGTCCCCTTTCTCCCTCACTGCTCCATGCGTGTCCCTCCTGAAGCCATGCGCTCCATCAAGGACAAGCATCCTTGCTAGGGGAGGCATGGTCTTTGATCAAGGATATAGAGTAGCTGCACTCCCTTGTTTGAACCTCCACACAAGCTCTCAACTTGCAAAATTATTCTGGTTTCTATGTAAATTGGCCCCAACATAAACTTATCAGAAGAATTCCAGGGATATATATAAAATAGTAATTGCCTAACTATGAATTTCTTGAACGCATCTGTATTTTTCCTCTCTAGTTCTTTTTCTTTCTTGAAATGGATTTGACTTCATGTTCATTAATGTCAGGAAAACAGTTAAAATTCTAAGGAAATGTACAATATAAACCTAGAATAAATCTTAATAATAATGAAAAATTACATGCCAAAACATCATCTAGACATTCCCATGAGGTGTTAATCTTCACTAACTTCTTTTACAGAACAAAAGAGATACGAGTGGTACCATTTTGTCCTGTAGCCTTCAAAACTAAGCTAGTTACCAACAACTACCTTTTCTCAGAATGGGCATACATTTGAAGATTGCCAAGTATATCCTGTTATACATAACTATGGAAATTTCTTTTAGTAAATATTCCCATAAAAAAGTAAAGATTCCACACAACTCCTTGCGAACAAATTCCTCTAAAATTCAGAGTTCTGCCCTGCAATGCCTTTACAGTATAAAACTTCAAAAATGTTTAAATATTCAAGTGTTTCTTGCTCTTCTGACTTAGGCTGCACTTTCTGAAAAGCAGTCCTTGAGGCAAAAATTTCAGTAAAAATGACTTATTTGCCAGCTTTATCTAAGGAACCATCTGTAAATGAATGAGTGACAAATGCACTATGAAAGTGACTGTTGACTAGAGTAAATTAAAATTCAAACCTGCTGGAGATGTTGGGAGACAATATTATTTTGCAATGAAGGTGTTAACACACTAAGGTACTTATCTCACAACTTCCATCAGTAATTAATTTGAGAAAAAGAATCTGCTGCTTAAAGTAGAAAATATAAACAAGTTGGGCAGTAAGTACTATCAACAGTTTTATTTTTCCCACAATACTAAAATTTATTCTAGGAATACACTGTGCATTTTCTTTGGATTCTAAGTACTTTTCTAGCAACAGTGAAAAATATTTAAGTATACTGTAAAATGTAATGATTATGGTAATGTAATTTCATTAAGTGTTCATTAGTTCCAATTTTCTGAATGATGGAATTATATGTTACAGTGATGTTCGCAATTTCAGGGAGTCATAGAGGTCTCAGTCAACATCGACCTGAAATTTTTTTTAAACTTTAGCTGAAATTATTTTTTCATCAGGATCAATCATTACCAACATATCCTCTGAAATATGCTGAGCCATTTATTAGGTACCAGGGACAATACCCAAGTGGTTCAATAAGCCAAACTGAATTAAAAACATACTTCTACAGGCAAGAAATACGCAATATTGGGAGGTGGAGAGAGAGCGGAAATACTCAGAAGGTAGGAGTGATTAATTCAGTCATGAACGTTCCACCTAGAAAGCCAAGGTTTGGAACACACCTGTGCTTGTGCAGAGGGGGAAGGGAACAAGGCTTGAGTGACCACAGATAACACCCTTCACCAACTGGGCTAGTTCTCACCCTATGGTCTCCCAAATTCTTCACTATCCTCACATTTCATCCTTCTTCCTCTAGGAAATGTTAACCCATTCGTGTCTCCCTGAAAGACCATTTGAATGCTGTCTTCCCCGGGAAACACTACTTCTTACCCTACACAAATCAGAGATGAGTTTTCCAATCTCTCAATATGGTATTAATATAATTTCTCCATCATGACATTTTTCTGTAATAGAACTTTAAAAACAGATTTTTTTATTTTTATTGGAAAGTCAGATATACAGAGAAGAGGCGCAACAGAGACGAAGAACTTCCCTCCATTGATTCACTCCCCAAGTGGCCACAACAGCCCTAGATGAGCTGATCCAAAGTGCAGAGCCAGGAGCCCAGAGCTTCTTCTGGGTCTCCTGAGAGGGTGCAGGGTCCCAAGGCTTTGGGCCGCCCTCGACTGCTTTCCCAGGCCACAAGCAGGGAGCTGGATGGGAAGCAGGGTGCTAGGATACGAACTGGTGCCCATTTGGGATCTCGATGTATTCAAGGTGAGGACTTTAGCCACTAGGCTACAGCACCGGACCTTAGAACTAACCTTTATAGAAAGATGCTAATAACATGAGGTAGCAAAAGATTTCATTTACAGAATGAATAAAGGTAGAACCAGCTCATTCAAGGACGCAATTATGACACAGCTAGCTCAAGGAATCCAAGTTAGTATGAATAATTCACCTTTACCACTGTATTTTCGAAATGCCACTGTACTCACTCTCCCTATCAAAAGCTATTACTTTCAAAAATTAAAAAAAAATCTCTTCTCCACAATTTCTAGAACCAGAGCATTTTGGATTTCATTTATCATGGTGTTTTTTTTTTTTTAAATTTTTAGAGATGTTCATGCACACTCAATAAGATTATCTTGGGGATAGTACTAAAATCTAAAGCATACTTCATTAATATTTCACATACCCCTTATATATGTGATCTAAAGGCAATTTTATGCAACACTTTTATCTGTATTGTTCACTACCCCTGTTACAGGAGCTCAGATGGGTCTCTCTCTAGTTGCAGATACAGTAGCATCTCAATGTTCAGGTCTGTTGCATTAGGAATGCTGAACCTGAAGTAACACAGTTAATCCAAGCTTCTGCGTCTGCCCAATGGCTTGTTCACATCCTCATGAATGAAAATTCTCCTGAGCATTTTCTTTTAAAAAACCTGAATTCACTCCAATTGAAGATTTCTTCGGCTGGGTATCCTTTCTCCTTAATCAACTTTTTCAACTCTGCCAGAAACCCGACAGCAGATTCCTCATCGGCAGGTGTAGCTTCTTCAGTAATTTGTACATTTTTCAGCCCATGCCTGTTTCTGAATCTGTGTAATTATCCCTGCGCTGTGGTAAGTGGGTCTGTGTCACCTGTTTCAAGAGATACCTTACTGAAGTCTTCAGAGAAATGTTTTCCGGTATAACATGCTGCTGCCAATCAGAAAATACTTTTTCTATTCATTCATGTTTTCCACTCAACAAATTTAATGCCTTTTTAATCTTGACTAATCATTTATGACACACTGTGGTTTTAACTTTTGCACTTTTACATAAGATAGCAAAACTAGTATGAATTTCTTCTTCATACTTTCATGAACACGCAATTCTCTCCTACCACAGATCTTAGCAAACTCAGCATATTTTTGGCCCCTTCTCTATTGGTAACTTTCACATTTTTAAGTAAAAGCGGCACTTTACAGCTTCTCTTTGACATACAAAAATTCCCAGGATTACCACTCTTTCATCTGAGGATCATTATTATCAAATAGCATAAATGTTACTTGAGCAGAAGCACTAACAGCCGGATAACCCAGACGAGTCCCTGAGCAGCTAGCCACGTGGCAGCAGGAGTAAGCAGCACGGACACAGTGCGCCAATAAAAAGGAAAAACTACTACACATTCTGGAGGGGAAGAAAGCAGCACGAGATTTCATTATGCAACTTAGACCATGGCACATTTTAAAGCTCTGAACTTAGTATTTCTGGAATTTTCTATGTAAGACTGTGGGAAACTGACATGAAACACGAAACTGTACAGAGGCAGTGCTACCGTCCTCCCAATCTCAGCCCAAATCCTTAGAGCAGCCACCTCAACAATCCCCAAATGATAGCACAGCAACCAAATCCAGTTGGTCATTTATCTTTCTAAATGAAGTTTTACTGTAACACAGTCATGTCCATCATTTACATATTTACTTACATGGTCACTTCCAGCTACCACAGTAGAGCCAAAGGCATCCGAGCTCCAAAGCCTCGGAATTTATTGCCTGCCCCTTGACAAAGAACGGACAACTGCTGGCTTATACTATACTATCCATCACAACTCCGAATTAAATGACAACAGCTTTATACTGAAGGTTCTGAAAGTGTGTCCACAGTGAGTTTTTCTCGAGGGTATGGTTTAAGCTAGTGGCTTACTACTAGCAGACAACAGGGGTGTTCTCACTGGTCTCCAACACATACGTCTAGACAATCACTACATGCCCATCAGGAGTCCAGGCTATCTAACCCTGCATGTGAGTCCTCTCTGAGGTTAGCACACTGCAAATTTTATTCTTTCCACTCCCATAGAGAAAACGTATAAAAAGCTGTATAAACGAATTTACAAATTAATTAATTTTAAAATGGGGGGAAAGCACTGTTTTCTGTGCAGTTTTCTCAATCTCCCAGACTACTGTAAATTGAAGGAAAAGGCATTAAGAATTCCATTTCTTTTCCTGAACATATATATGTAAAGGTAGATTAGAAAAATG